ACCCCCCAGGGGGGATGGTCATGCCGCAATCCCTTCTCCTCCATTCTTCTCTCGGGATCTTAGGCACACATGCACATGCGCCCAGCATGAGTTCTAAGCCACCGGGTCCGGGACGTGAACTGCGGTCGACTATGTGGGAGTCCAATGACATAGCCATTACGCTAACTGCTGGTTCCCAGTTTGTAACCCTTTTTGAAATGTCTATGCATTAAATTATAAATAAGTGTTTCTAAAGGTACTGCTTGTTGGGACCACCCAGGTGGCATAATGATTATTTTGCTGAACTCCCACATGGTTGACCACGATTTGAGTCCTGAACATGGTGGCTTAAAACTCACGCCAGGTGCATGTGTTTGTGTTTCCAAAATCCTGAGAGAAGAATGGAGGAGAAGAGATTTGCAGCATGACTATCCCCCCAGGAGGTGATTTCTCATTGTCTGTCTGTCTCTGTGTCTCTCCAGGGAGTGCATATGCCCTATAGCAAAATATCTCTCTAAAAATAAAAATAAAAAAGTTACTGCCTATTGTGGTTTGGGTGTCTTCCTGAAGTCCATGTCTTGATATTTAATTAAACTTAATTTAATTATTATGATGACACATGAGGCCTTTGAGAAGTGATTAGGCACCAGGGTGGGGCCCCATGATTGAGTCCTAGAAAGTCTAAAGATCTTTGGAAATATTTATAAAGAGAGGGAATAACATGGACAGGTATTCTTTTCTGGTATTTGTGATGCAATGCCTTGGGACTCAGCAAGACCTCTACCTTGGACCTCCAAAATGTGAACTGAATTAGCCTCTATTTTAAATCAATTATCCAAAGTTGGATATCAGCAACAGAACAGACTAGAACACTGCCCTATACTGAGCATAAAGAACACATACATTCTTTGCTCTCTATGCACGATATATGAGCAATAAGAAAACCACTTGTCTACTTTTGTAAGTCATCAAACGGAACATAAATCCACTCCTGCTCAAGGTATTTCACAGGACAGAATGCAGTAGATCGACTTCGAGGCACCATCTTAGAAATAACAGTAGATGTTCTGATCATTTACTCTGGATGATTTCCAATGCCAAAGCATAGAGTGCAAAGACAAGTCAGTAATTTCAGCAAACATATAACATTCCTCCACCCATAAAGAATGCCATTTCTCTGTGGAAAAAAGTCGTATCTAGACTGCTTGTGTGGGGAGCTATAAATAGTTTTTGGATCATCTTGAAAAAATATGAGTAGACAATAATATTGCAAAATAAATTTTATGTACCATTAGATAAGTCTGGTTAAAGCAAAGTTAGCAAAGAAAGCCACAGAAAATACAATGACAATATGTCTCACAGAAAGGAAGAATTTAGCCTGGCTTTGAGGCTTCACTGACACACTGACTACGATAAGATTTTTGTAATGCTTATAACCCTAAAACATAACACATCATCAAATGCCTTTCATTGATGAAGGTAAAATAAAGTGATTTACATTTCTACTTCTCCAGCAATGACTTAAAAACATACCACTCATGTATCCTCATGAGAATGACTTGAGTAGAACTTGATTGTATGATGTGATTTGAAACATTAATTGATTCAGATGGTTGCCACCACTTCTTTCTGAGTAACTGCACTCTATTTTTATTTGAGTCATCCATGTTCCCAACTACAATTATATTTTACAGTTTCTCTTGAAGCTGGTATGCCCAAATTCTTGCCAATGAAATGTAAGTGGAAGTGTTTGGTAAGATTTTCAGAACAATTATTTGAAGAAGGCTAACTGAGCTTTTATTTATCCCTTGCCCACTCCTTACTCTCTGGAAAGCAGTGGAACTGTCCGAAAGTTCAGCAGCCCTCTAGGACCATGAAATGACCTGGCAGAAGACAGCCACATACTGGGAATGACAGAGAAGAAAGGTTTCTACCTGGATTTCATGCCGTGATTCTGAGTGAAAATGCCTACCTCTGGACTTGTTTCCGAGAAGAAAACAAAAACTCTTATTTTAAGCTAGCATTATTTTTTAAAATTTTTATTTATTATTACCGTAACCTTGTTTGTATTACATTGAATCACATATAAGTTTACAGTGTATTACATTTCGTTTTCCAGAAAGAATACCATGCATGTCAGTCTTAAGCTATTGTTATTTTGAGATTTTTAAAATATGCAGCTGAGCCAATCCTAACTGATAAATGAATAAGAAATGGATCACAATAAAGAACTCAGCCAGCCATGGTGGTGTGGCAGTGGTGTCATACTCTGCCATACTGGAGTCATATGAGAGGGTCCTGGGTTCGAGTCCTAAGGTCTCCCTAGCCAATGGTCCTGGCTGGTTTGGGTTAGTAGAGCTCTGTATGGGGACTCTTTTGGAAGTGCCTATCTATCTCTCTTTCAGAAGAAATAAATAAACTTTTGAAAAAAATAAAGAACTCAAGAATGGAGAGGTCTTTATATAAAATGAGAGGAAGCATCCCCTAGGAGACAATCCTCAGGAACAATTCCTAACTAGACAGTCTGCAATTGTTCTCAGGGTAATCATCCCATCAGCAATGGATGAATCTTGCGATATTGAGAAGCTCTATTACCTGCACCATGAGCATGCCCTTTCACAGAGACATCTCAGTGTGATTTAGAAACAAAATACTGCAAATTATTATGTCTTAGTGATGGTATAAACATGTACTCTGACACAAGAAATTCTTCTGGGAATATAGAAACTTCAGAACAGTTTTACCACCCCATTAGAAAACCTAATAAGATAGAACTCTGTAAAACTGTATCTCTTCATATGCACACACACTCAAGCTCATTTTATCAACACACAAAGACTGTAAAGAAATATATATTGGGTTGCCGAGAAGGTCATGACACATTTTTGCATTAAAAAATGTAGAAAAATACGTTATGATTTCCCCAATGACCCAATATATTCATGTTACTAGGACTCCTTGAGTCTCCTTTGCCTGTGTGCCGCAACTTTTCATAAACCTCTATTTTTTTTTTTTGAGAGGTTTTTGCCATAGGGCGCATGCACTCTCCAGACAGAGACAGACAGACAGAGAGACAGAAAGTGAGAAATCACCCCTCGGGGGGATGGCCACGCCGCAATCCCTCCTCCTCCATTCTCCTCTCGGGATCTTGGGCACGCACGCACATGCGCCTGGCGTGAGTTTAAGCCACTGGGTCCGGGACACAAACCGTGGTCGACTACATGGGAGTCCAGCGACACAGTCATTATGTTAACTGCTGGTCCCATAAACCTCTATTTTTAATAAATTACACAGACTTTGATATTAGCAACAGAACAGACTAGAACACTGTCCTATACT